ATCCCAGCCATGTGTCCCACTACACCAGCACACCTCCCTGCTAACTCCTACCTGGAGACAGCAGCTGGAAGCCAAGGGTTATCTGAACAACAAAACTAAACTCAGAAATGAGATTCCAGGCTTTTTTTTCCTCTTTCAGCACAGTTTGGAAGATATTTGCCCAACGTTCCCCTGACCCAAATTCTCACTCAGTCACATGCCAATTATTGGAAGTAATTCACGCACCCAGGAGCAACATGGGGAAGGTCCAGGGCACCCTAGGATATGCTTCAAAGATGCACATCATGATCACACTTTATACCTGTATCTACCTCACCCAACACAAATGTGGAACTCACAAACAGGAATCCCTCTCCAGCCCCTCTGCCCACTCCCTGTGCTGTAGAGGGGTTGTGTGCACCATGGACTCTGGGAGTCCTGACCAGTTCCTTCTTGTTAGATTTGGTTTCTTTATGCTCATTGTCCAAAAGAAGTATCCTTTTACACTTCAGTATTTGTTTCATCTTAAATACTAATGAAAAAGTCAGGGGGAGCAGATCAGAAATGGGAGTCTCAGCATTTAACAGCTTCTCAGATGCTGGTTCAGGCTGTACAGTTTGGTACAAATCCTTCTGGGCATTGAGAACACTCTACCTACTGCCAGCCCAGCACAGAAACAGACCATCTCACATTAGCCTTCTCATTCCTATACAACAAGGGTTGCAGAAGCTTGCTGCCTTCCCTAAATCTAGAGCACACAGAAGAAAGGGACAAGACTTGGTTTAAGTGCAACAGCAAAAATGCTCATGAAATGCAGGGGCAGGAGAAACAAGGAGCTTGCAGGACTCAGCAGCTTCTCAGCACATGGGGGATTGAGGCTCTGCCTGCCCAGTCACACTGCAAACAGCCTACAGAAAATCATTTCTTTGCACAGAAAAGGGTTTGGCACAACAGTTATATATGCCAAAAGATTCAGGAAGTGTCTTTAATAGGAAAAAAAGTAAGAACATCTTATCTAGGAAGCAACAGAATAGCGGAAACACTGCAGAAGAGTTATGGGCTATGTCCTGTCCCAGCTCCAATTCCTCAAAACAGCTGAGCAATTTCCCTAAAGCACTGCTTGGCTAGCACAGATCCTGGAGTGGAAAACTTCAGCCTCAAAGGGCAAAAGAGGTGAAAGTTCAAATATAATAAATGGGACTGAGCATTTATGCAGTCATAACGTCACCATTGATTCTATTAATGTTATTAATCCCTGGGAGAGGGAAGGAGAGGACACTAACTGGTGAAAATAAGACAAGGCACAGGAGATTTTATTAAAACACAAGAGGGGTGGGGTGTTTAAAGCCCTGACTGCTATAGCTGCTTCTGTGGCATGAGATGTCACCACAGTGGCTTTCCCACAGCTGTCATTGCCACAGAGGGGGACACTTACATGGCCAGAGAATTTCACCCACTAATTTCTCAGTGAAGCCCATAGATCACATAGGCTGGAAAAATCAGCAAATCTTCACCTCTAAAATCATTTAGCAATAGTGAATCCAACAACTCACAAAGTATTTTGTTTTATCAAAAAAGCATTTCCCTTACTGCTGAAAACACATACCTTACTACTGCACTGGGATCAGGCTAGTGGTTTAAATTACAGCAGGAGAGACCTCCAGGACCATACATAACTGTACTGTAAGCAAACATTTAGACAGGGTACATAAGATATGGGACTCCAAAGCTCCCGATTCTCCCAGTGTCTGCAAATGGAACACGCACAGGAGGATCTGACGCTGTCACATTACGCATTAGGAGCCGAAATGACTTCTGGTCAGCCCTTTGGGGATGGATAATCAGCAGCTTGTTCCATGCTCCCGATTAAGAGGAGATAATCCATTTCTGTACGGCTTTGGTGTCAGATCAGAGCAATTCTGGCAACAGTTCCAACAGCACACAGCGCTCCGGCAACAGCTGATGCAAACACTCCAAAAGCCACAGGGCATCCCAGCCTCCATCCAAAGGACATGCCACCACTTTGCCTGTCCTCCTGCAGCAGCAACTGCTGCCAAGGTCAAGCACATAACGGAGGCAGGACAGGTTTGCCTCTCCTCTTGGACCTGAATGTCAAGGTTGAGAGATTAGCAGCCAGAGAACCCACAACAAGGATTTCCAAAGGGCTGGGAAACAGGGTTTGCTGCTTGGGCTGCATCCTGGAGTGGCCATTCACAGCATAGGGATGTGTCATCCTGAAAGAGGAGTGTCTGTTCCACTTGCTGGGAGACCAGTTATGTGAAGAGAATTTGGTCTCTGCAATAACTCGTCTTGCCTGCTCTGTCACTCTGAACAGCTGTAGCACAGAGGATTTCATGTTAAACAGAGGAAAGTGCACAGCTCATTTTTGTCAGCATTATTTTCATTCGACTGGATTTAGCTTTGAGTAATGAGGAAGCCCTACAGATCTGCACATGGTAAAATCAGGGTATGAATCCATGCAGAGGAAGAGTTCTGGAAGGGATCACATCCTTTTCCAATTTCATCCCTAGAGTTCAGGACAAATACATGAGTCTCAATTGCCTCTCCTTCCTGTACTTTGGGCATATTACATCAAAAGGTATGGGATGAATTATGCTGAGCAAGGAGAACCCAAACATGCAAGGCAGAACTGACCACAGCTGACCTGATAACCAAGCACCAGGACCAAAGGAAGGAAACATCACCCCACAAGCAGCCAAACACTCAACAACAGGCTCTTAAACAGACAAACACAGCAGTCTAAAGCACAGAACCCCCAAATTTTCGCAGAAGAGTCTGAGGGGAGACTCCTTACCCTACATCAGCCACCAGCAGGAGTGCTGCTGAAGGTGTGCCTTCAGCCTCCAGGTGACTGGGCTGGAGGAAGAGAAGTGATTAAGAGTCTTTCAAGAGGTAAATGACGGAGGGTGGTAATCAGTTCATCTCTGCTTCCACCCCAGGTAAGATTAAAAAAAAATATCCCTAAATCAGCTTTGTCTGCAGCAAATGAAGACTTAGATCTGATATTAGCAAACACTCAAAGACAGAGCCATTAGGCTTTGGGACAGGCTGAGGAGGTTGCTAATTCTCCTTCATTACTTTCATGCGCAGCTGAGAAACACCCTTCAGAGACAGGCTGGGCACAGTAAATCCAGCTTTTAGGAACAGGATCACACCATCCCCTTCCAGACTTGCCAGTCAAGGACTTCCTGGGCTAAAATGAGAGTGCAACCAGCACAGGGGATGCTGCAAGGGGCTGACAGGAAAACCACAGAGCACAAACAGAACAGCTTATACAGGGGTCCCTACCAAAGCTCACCTATTTTGAAGCCTTCTGCTTCAACAGGTACCCATCTCAGCTTGGCTTAATATCCCCGTCCTCCTACAGCCCTGCAGCCATCTCTCACCCTACAAACGGGCAGACACACTCTGCAGTATGTCTGCTCCACGTCAGGGATGCTAATGCAGCAAACTATGCATCCTCTTTGTTTTCAATGCAGCATTTCAAAAAGCCTCATCGTTCATTTAAGGTGAAGCAGATGCTGTTCCTCTGGTCTCTTTGAAAGGGCTTATCTACAGGCTGGATTTCATTAAGTGTCTTGTTCTGTGTTTAATAAGCTTGCAAGTCTAGACACTTTGCTTCTCCCTCTATCACCCCTTTGGTGTACCAGCAGGTAGAGACAACAGAGGTTAAGAGGGAAATATTTAGCTAGCAGATTTAGATGCTATCAAGATGATTGCGTAATTCCACTTTGACTCACTGCAATTTCATACTCAGGCACTTTTTTTCTCTAACCCTAGTGCCAATCCCTTTTGAAAGAGGCTGCTACCTGCTGCAGTAGCATAGAGGAGGTCATTGAGAGGTTCAAGGCACAGACTTCGGGATATTCGTAGAAAACTCATGTTGAACCAATGATTGAAAAAAAGGAAAAAAGGTCCAGAGGAGGTGTGTGGTAAAATCACCCCCTACTAGCAGACAGTGCTGGTGACGTACAAGCAGAACAACTGTCTGAGCAACCCAGTCCACCGACTCATCAGATATTTCCATGTGCAACTGGCTGTCACCTCATTCCCCCAGCCAACAAGGACAACCCAGGCAGCAGCCTAACATCCTGCTCCTCCCTCCTGGGGATGCTGAGGCACAGGAGCTGCAGTGTCTGGGAGCACAGAGGTGTCTGCAGAGCCCCACAGGAACCACCACAACCAAGAGCTCAGCAGCAAAACCAAGAAATGCTGCTGGGACCTCAGATAGGTGCTGTGCCCAATGTCTGGGCACTGACTTCAGCTGTTTGCAAGAGGTGCTCTCAAAAGAAAGGCATCTTGCTGCAGGGTGGACAGCACTGGAAGGCTGTGTGCCAGTTGCTTCCAAAGAGAGCTTCTTCCTGCAGCTCCCATGAGCCAGACATGCCCTATGGAGACCCAGTCTGACAGGACACGCTGCAGACTCGAGGGCAATGCCGAGACCAGTGATTTGCTTATCTGCCAGCAGTTAGCATCACTGCAGCGATGGGAACTCAGCCGAGACTTGTTCATTTTGGGTCTGACCCTGCATCACACTTGAACCCTCAGCCTCCACACAAAACCAGCTCTGTGTTTATCTGCTGCTCTGCTTAGCCCCAAAGGCTAAAAGTGAGATGGATACAAATCCTGTGGGTTCACAACATGCTGGGAAAGAACAGCATTGTTGTGGATCAGGGCTGCAAGATGTGCACGTTACAATTACATGCACTGCGGGGATGTACCATCAAAACCAATATGTTAGAGTAAAATGGCTTTTCAAAAGATTAATCAGAAAGAAAGATCTCTCTCTTTGGGAAACAAGCAGCCATAATCAGCAAATATTTCTCTCTCATGGGATTGCAAAACAAGGCGTGCTCTGCCCTCTGAGCCACGAGTCATGAACTTTCCCAGCAAAGGGGGAGGCAGAGCAGAACGACCTTAGAGAAAACAACAGGATGGGGATTTTTTTACATTTTACATTTTTATCCCAAGAAGAGTAAGTTCAAGGTCTCTGCACTTACCATCAAACTTCTTGTATCGGGAACTAAACATGGTCTGTAGGTGATTGCTAAGCTCTACGACAGCGTTTCTGAAGTCATGTTTACTCTGCTGACTGTACTTCTCCTCCATTTCTTGGGAGCAGCATGTGTAGCCTTGCGAACAGACTTTCAAGTGGTCACCTGAAAGGCAGAGAAGAAAATATCCCAAGTTAAAAGAATTCCTTATGAAAGGGCAAAAAGATTGTCTCAAGAGGCAGGGGGTATAAGGACCTGCAGCACCACCTCCTCCATGGGACCACTGGACCAGGCATATCAAAACCTGACTCTGTAGAGGAACTGTATAGCAATACATGTTAAACCCTTGTCTTTCTGCAATAGCATTTAAAAATGTCCTCTAATTTGTTCAGTTAATAAACAGATACTCATCTCATACAGTATAATTTGAGGAACTAGAAAATTGACCTGTGTATACTATGGTAACTTCCATGAAGTTTTTGCTGAGTATTTTAATTACTTCCAATTCATTCAGTTAATACACAACATCAATGGCAATGGCCCTTTTTGTACAGGTAATTTTTTTTCTCATCCCTCCCCCATCCAGTTATCCAGTTATCTCTCTCAGGAGCACAGTTATCACTGATATTAAAATACACTTCTTTTATGCAATGGCTCATAAAAATGCTTTATATTTCCCAGCTCCTAATTTTACAGTTTTCTGTCATCATTCTTGATGAAACTGGGGGGTTGTTTCTGGAGACTGCAAACAGATTTTTCTTCCTTCACTCTGAAAGACAATTCTTTCCTAAGAGTCACCTGGCTCAAGCTGGATTGGCCAGAGGTATCACCATGTGCTTCAGTATCTTCCATGGCCCCATTTCAAAATCTTTCAGAAAATCTGGACATGAGATCTGGCCCCATGTAATTTGCTTTTAGATGCCCCGCAGCAGTGCGGGATGAAGTCGTCCTCTTCTAGCACCACCAGTAAAATGCTGCAGTCAAGTTTTGTGGCACCAGACAAACCCTTGGCGCAGCAATCCACAGCTCCAGCTCTCTGACAGGTCCCACAACACAGCACTACCACAGGCAGGTGGGCTGAAGCTAAAGTGGTTCAGATTTGGGCAAACTGTGCAAATCTTTGTCAACACTGAAGATATGATCAAAACAAGCAGTAAGGATGAGAAAGTCATCCTTCCAAGTCAGATGGTGTTTCAGAAGACACAGCCTACATGTAAGCTGCTGCCTTTTCTCCCATTTCACACCCTGCTGCCAAGCCTTATCCTTCATTCTGAGGAAACAGATGGAGAAGCAAAGGCTCTTCCCTACCAGCTCACACCCTGGAAGCCACCAATGACCTCCAACCACCATGGGGGTTCACAGACTCACTGCCAGAGCTGCAAAGGACTTGTCAGCCCCCACGCAGAAAATAACCCTTCCTGACAGGATGTGCACCATGCACTTATCCAGAGTCATCCATCCTGCCTGCTAGAGCATCAAAAGTGGGTTTAGAGAAACAAAAGCAGTTCTGCACAGTGCACAACAAAGCCTGCCCATGGCTAACATGAGTGGTCAATGCTTTGCCTTCCTTGCACAAGACTTCTCAACATCTTTTGCCCAGATATTGAAACTCTGTATCACTTTGCATGACTTCTACCCCAGAAAAGATGCCATCTCTCCTTACAGTCACTTAAGGACCATCTTAAAATAAGATATATATATATAAAAATATTCACATCTATATATACCACTTAAGAACCTCTCCTCCTAAATCTATTTCCCTGTTGTGCTACAGGGTTGGTTTGTTTTCTGTGGCATTACAGACAGACCTTGACCGACAGATAATTCTGCCACAGCTAATTTATTGCACAAGACCATCCACTGCTCTTCAGTTACAGAAAGCTCAAAGTCTGCTATGGGAAGCAGCACTGCTTAGGCACAGCCTTCAGAAAACCAGGAAAAAAAAAAAATCTGTCTCCTTATACATGTATTTTTCTTTCATGGACTATTTCCTTCTATCTCAAAGGAGAACCTTAAGCAGCAAATTCACAGCACTAAGGGACACAGCACTGAGGGATGCAGCTCCAGTTAGATACATAAGTCATCTAAAAACAGAGGAAGAGATGCACCCAGATTTTCAGATCCTGCCCACTAAATTCATCCTGAAGCATGCCTGGGCACTCCTCTGAGCCTGCCTTACCAGTAAGTATTATTAAAAAAGGAAGTGCCCAAGCACCACTGCTTTATTTCACTTTGAATCTCTGCTCCAATTCCAACACAGGACTAAGGACTCCGACACAACAGGAACCATAAATAGTGGCAAAGCAAATTCAAACCTACTGATAGTGGGATTTCTTTTCCTAGTTACACTTCACAGACACTTTTGAAGCTGTTCACAGGTGCCCTAGGATTCCTAAACCTGTGGTGTTAACAATTCCTCCAATTTATATGTGACTGAAAAAATAAAAACGCAATGTATTTCACAAACACAAGTTAACAGTTTTACACCTATTTATGCTATTAAAGTTACCATCTCACCTAATGTTACAAAGCAAAATCATTTTCTTTAATCCCCCTTGTCCCAGATTTGACGGTGCCTCCTCAGGACACAGATGCAAAGCCAAGCAAGGAGAACACTACTGACAGTAAATCAAGCTTGCACAGATCCCATTGGGTTGATCATTAAGGAATTATGCTCCAAAACGCAACTCAGACATTCAAAAATGAATGACCAAGCAATCTAATTATGGAAGATATTTCTCAGTCATGTCAGCACTATGTGGTCTTGGCTTGTGATCAAGAATTAGCTCTGTCTGGAGCTGAGGAGCTCTGGCTACTCGGTGCTAATCATAGGAGGATGCACTGTGTCACCCGGTGTTAAAAAAACAGAAAGCTTAAGTCTGTGGGATGCTTTTCTTGCAGTTTTCTTACGCCACAGTGGGAGATGCCAATGGAAAGTCACTGGGGGCCCCAGTTTTCCCACAGGGAGGTTTGTCCTTAGCACTGTCACATCCCTGAGAATATATCCTTGCTTGAGCAAAGCAACAGGCACTGATAGAATTTGTGAGAACTCTCATGTCTAGCCTTCACTCTAAATCTAATGCTAGAGTGAAGCAGAGCTGATCTGTTCAGCACCCATTCACAGGACTCATCCCATGCCTGAGTTTGCAGGGAGGACAATGGAACGTCCCAACGTCCCATCACATGCCCCTTCAGTGAGGCTGCAGTGTTGCGAGCTGCTCACCCCTCCGTGGACACATCCCGACATAAGGCATCAACAGACAACATCTTCAAAACACAACAGTGTTACAAACGAGAATGAAAGTGATGAAGCCTACGAAGCAGCCACTGCCAGTGGTGCACATGAGCACGGACCACGTATGCACACAAACACCAACCTAGAGCCAAGACTGAAGCAATGCTCTTTTTCCAACTGGCAGCAAACTCGTCTAAGGAAAATGAGTGAAAAATATGGGTATTTAGGCATGCTTAACAGAGATCTAATGTTTATGTATCTTATGTAGAGAACACTCATGGTGTGCACTCGCTGTCAAGGACACATTCGGCAATAATTATTTCCCAAGTTAAAACTCATCAAACAATGGCCATACAAGGCAACTCCGCATCTACTGTTGAGTATGAAAAACTCGGCAGCTTTTGTAATTTATCACCATGCGAGCACTGCAAAAATGTAACTCTGCCACAGCCTCCTTTCAAGTTAGGCTTTTTACTGAGTTGTTTGGCAGGGTGTGCAATCATCACATCAGGGGTTGCATGGCAAGAAAGAGCTTAAGTAGCAGAGATCAACTCCAAATATCTACCACATGCACACCATCGCTACAGCTTGTCATGGATTTGCAGCAGATCTTTCCCATGGCTTGTTGCAGCAAGACTTTTTTTCTCTATTTTATGTTACATATAAATACAGAGAGAGAAATGAAGGACCAGAAATTATGAAAGAAGCTTGCTCCTTGGCTGGTTAACAGCACACCTCTGGAACGGAGGTGGTGGTTTAAAGATAGAAATGTGATGGGACATGTTGTTACCATCTGTACATCCAAGGAAATGCGCTCAGAAAGGTAATCTTGCAAACTTATGATTTAAGCCATTACAGAAACACCACATTTAGCAGACTCCAGGCACACAGAGTTTCTTCCAAATCAAGTAACTATTTTGCAATGTGTTGGAAAACAAGTTTTCATCAAACGAGTAAGTGAGCAGCACAAACTCGGGGGCTACATGATACGGGAAAGCAGCTTCCTTCACCAAACAATCTTCCAAGACTTTTACAAAATGTTGTTTCTGGATGTCTAACATGCCTCCCCAGCCTGCTTCTCCTTGCCTTGACCACGCTCATACTTAAGTACAGCTAACTGCAAAACTAGCTAAACTTTCAAGGAGCAGTTCACTGTGAGGTGAGAGGTGGGTATCTCTTTTTAAGACTCCAGTACACAGCCTAGCCCTTCACTACAGCTTGGTAAACAAGCCAAGAGAAGTTTATGGTCTGAGATGTTACTGTTAGACTTTGCTCCCATGTGAGAAAACAGGCTGGGGTAAGGTGTGGTGGTGGAGGAGCAGGAGACAAACACTGCCAGGGCACTGGTGAGCATGGCCACCATTTCAGCCTCATCCTCTGCCTCTTCCCTCTAGCACACATGGACTTGTGTCATTTTAAGAGTTTTATGACTTCCTCTGAACCAACTACCAAAGGAATCCCGGACTGTAATGCCGGGCTCTAATCCGATTTCACACTAGACTTACCTTCTAATTATCACAGAATATTAGGCTTCCACCCATCATATATAATTGACATGCTACCAAGGCTTTACAAAACCCCCAACAAAGATGACAAGAAACACTAGCATCACCCCTGAGCAGAGCTCTGCTGCTCCGGCCCCACATTAACAAGGGGCAAGAAGAAGAAAGAAAAGCGTGAGCTTGTGATCGACTCCAGTGGAGTCATCGAGACAGACACAGCTACCGAACCATCCACCCAATCTGATCACCTTTAATTTACCCAAAATACCAAAAAATGCCCAGTTTTCCCAGCTATAAAATGATTTGAGGATGCTCAGCATCTCTGGGAATGGATCATGAGCTCATGTCCATCTTCACTGGTGCTGCTGTAATCCCTAC